TTCTCTGATCTTCCGGTAACTTTCCAAAAATCATATCAGAGTCTCTATCGATAATACAACCAAAACTAAGAGGATCCGTCCATTCAATATTATCGACACCATATGATTGAAAGAGGCTCCTTAACTCATATAGTAACAACGAATATGGTGATGTTTTCTCGCGTATTAAATCGTTCTACAAAAAAAAATATATCGAATCAGGAAAAATAAAAACTTAGAATAATTTATATACTGAATATATTACCAATCGTTTCTCAATTTTTTGCTTGTTTGATGATACTGGGTTTATTTCGGTTGAGCTTATGAATTTGAGAGAAACCTATAAAACATGTAGAATATATTTAATGCCAGTAATAAGATATAAAATAGTTATATTACCCAAACTAACAATTGATTCCATAGCATCGACCGTTGAAATATACTGAGTTCTTTGCCTGCCCTTTAAAAATAAATAGATATTGTAAGTTAATATATGAAAATACTTTATCACGCTTATGATTGTACACATTCAATCAGATCGTTCATACACCACGAACGGCCATCGGGGCCCAAACCTCAGTGTGAGTCGGTGGTGTAAAATCCATTTGCAGGATAAACGAACGAAATGTCATCATATTTAATATTATGGGTTGAGTAAATTATTCAAACAATATTTACGTCTGTAATTTTATCAAATCCTTCATAAGCTTCTCGAAGAATAGTACTAGACTTGGCGGTGTGACGCAAAGCTTTCTCACAGGCCAGCTTATATATTTGAAATGTATCACTCATACAACCATATCGTCCACCATTTGCATTAATTGTATATCCGAACCATGAAGCAAAACGCACTTTTCTGGCTTTATCGCAATTATTCTCCAAGTACCCAACACCAAAATCTTTCCAGCCAAGGTACTTATATTCCTGTTCCATTATTATACGAAGTTGCGAATAGATTGGTTAGCTTGAAAAAAAGGAATTAAAGCGTGTAAAGGAATCACTAAAAAGTGACAAGTAATAACGAAATCTCTATACTGCCCTTTTATATGTTTTTCTTCACCTCTTTTCTGAAGCTTGAAATGTTAGAAAGGTTAGTTGGAAGCAAAAACATGTGTTCTTACATCAAAAAATCTCTACGATACATGCAGGGAGATTTTATATAGAGCCATGTAAGGTTAAAATCGCTAAAAATAAGACTTTAAGGGACTTGATACTCCGTCATACATACATACATTGTGCGCATTTAGGCCAGGTAAGGTTAAATGTAGATGTGGCATGAGTTAATTGACCGACTTTGGTTAGGGACTAATTCTGATAAATGGCAATTTCTACTTGTGACCCGTCTCACAAATAAGTTATGCATGATAAGTCTTGTAAGGTGATACAGATAAATTTCATATGCGGAATTATTACGCTAATGAACGTGGGTAAATTTTGTATTATCGCTAATTCAGATTTATTTTTATTTAGCGTTAATTATTCGAGAATTTTCACATTCACATCGCTTATATATTCCATTCGCCACCTTTTTGCATGTTTTGCAATATAGGTGTGAATGATGATTGCATTCGTCACAAACCTTACACCCGTGCTTCCATCCTCTAAAGATATG